CTTATGGGACCACGGTTGTATATGTGGTCCAGAATTGACCAAAACGTCATTATGTGGTGCATGATCATGTTTAACTTTATAAGAATGGCAATTAACTTTCAAAGTTCATTGCCAAATTTGGATGAGATCATGAAGAATGAAAGTTACTGTTTTTATGTAAAATCGATCATGTCCTAAGATGATCTTCTGTCTGTTCATAGCACACTGAGAGAGAAGGGGGCATAGGTGCCCATGTGTTCACTGGAGAATTACTGTCTTTGGCTTGCCAGTGCTTCCTGCTCCTACTCGTCCAACATGCGTACACTCAGGGCCTCATCTGAGGAGGATTAGGAAAGATGACCCTAGGGTTCATTACAATTCAGAGTCTTAGTGATTGACTACAGGGGTTTTGCCTGAAGAGCAAAAAATATGGAGAGAGAGAACATCATTGTCACCAAATCTCTAGGTCACAATACAGTAGTCCCCCCTTATCTGCAGGGGATACATTCCAAGACCCCCCTGGATGCCTAAAACCTCAGATAGTACGGAACCCTAAATATACTATGTTTTTTCATATACATATGATACCTATATAAAGTTTAACTTATAAATTAGGCACAGTAAGAGATTAACAACAATAACTAATAATAAAATAGAAAAATTCTAAGAATATGGTGTAATAAAAGTTATGTGAATGTGGTCTCTGTCTCTCTCAAAGTATCTTATTGTACTGTACTCACCCTTCTTGTGATGATATGAGATGATACAGTGCCTATGTGATGAGATGAAGTGAGGGGAATGACGTAGGCATTCTGATGTAGGTTAGGCTACCATTGACCTTCTGACTGTACGTCAGAAGATGGATCATTGAGCCATGGTGATGTCAATGGTTGGATGTCAGGAACAGATGATGTCGATGGTTAGATGTTAGGAACAGATGATGTTCAAGATGTTACTTGATCACAAGCATTGTGATACTGCAACAGTTAATCTGATAACTGAGATGGCTACTAAGTGACTAATGGATGGATAGTGTGTACACTGTGGATCTGCTGGACAAAGGGATGATTCACGTCCCAGGTAGGGCGGAGTGAAACAGTGGGAGATTTCATCATGTTACTCAGAATGGCGCACAATTTAAAACTTACGAATTGTTTATCTCTGGAATTTTCCATTTAATACTTTAGGTCAATGGTTGACCATGGGTTACTGAAACCAGGGAAAGTGAAACCACAGATAAGGGAGGCCACTGTGTATACTATAGAAAGTATTCTCCTGTGAATTGTATCCTTTGCTCTTCAAAACAACCTGTCAGGTAATCCTGCTGGATACATGATGTTTTCACAAGGCCAATGGGACTCTAGCAACAATTTTATTCTTTTTTTTTTTTTAAAAAATTCAGCTTCCCAACTTAAAAAAGAAAACAACTAAAGACTGTAACAGGTAGCCCCCCTCCCCCAACCCTGAGCCCTCTTGCGTTATGGAACTACACCCAACCCCTCAGGCTCACCACATCTCTGAGCTCCATCCCAGCCCTGAGCCTCCAGGGTGAGGGGGAAGTTGACGGATGTCTACTGAGCACAGTGATTGGACACAAAAAGGAGAAGTGTTTTTTTTTCTTTTTCACCGGATGAAAGTGACTTTCTTTAGTTCGTGCAGAATTATGGCCTCTGTGTTACAGAGGATATAACTGAGACTTGGAGAAGTTAGAAAATTGCTCAAGGCGTTTTTACAGGAGAATGGTGTGCCTGGGTCTTCAACTGTGCTGCCTCACTGGAATTTGCATGGGAAGCGGAGCGTTCTCCAGAATTTAGGACCTCATAGACATTCTTTGCCAATGTAGGCTGTCAGTATGTCAATAAGCTCCCACCGTCTGCTTCACCTTTTGATATAGAGGAAATGGAGGAATGAAAGAAGCACTGGATTTTAGGAGAAGGATCTCTAAGGAGAAAAAATGGGGCAGAAAGTAGAAGATAGATGAATGTTAGAAGGAGCCTGAGAGAGGCTTCTAGCTCATGGGCAGGCAGAGATGGAGTGACAGTGGGGGTGAAAAAGAGCAAAGAAGGCTTCAGAAAGGTCCTCCAGAAAGTCCTGAAAAAGCTTGTGTCAAAAGACGTATGTGGCTCCACTGCCAGTGATCCCCAAGCAGCTCCTAGAATAGATCCTACTGCTCACTCCTGGTTCCAGGCAGGGCTCGTCGGAACAAAGGCTGAAAGAGTTCTTCGAATGTGCTCAACACCTGAAAAATCGCCACCCATCTGAGATTCCTTTTTTCAGAGGACAAATTATTTCACCTATAATTAGAGAGAAAAGTACGTTCTGGTTGAAGGAGAAGAGACATTCATTGTAAGAGCTACGTTTATCAGGCACAGTAAAGCACAGGTACTCCGTATATGATCTCATTTCATCTTTCCCACAGCCCTGTGCAGGAGATATTACTAGCTCCATGTGGTACACAAAAATGACAACACTAAGAGGTGGAGAAACTGTGTGCCTTCGATGTGTGAATATGCCTTTTATGAGCCAGTACACAGAGTCTTTGTCCAGAGGTATTTTTGTCATATATGAATACATATAGTTTTGCTTGAAATGTTAACTGAAGATTTTTGAAAACAAACTTCTTAATAAAGCAGCATGTCTCTGGAAGCTGCGTTGATGGAGGCATTGCTATTTTGTGCCTAGAGCCATTATAGGAACATGTCATCCTTGAAACGGTGAATACCTAGTGCTGTGGTGGGCCATTATAAATGGAAGAACGGTTTATGTAGAAATAGAAATATACTCAGTCCTGGTACTTAAACTTTTCAAGGTTTTTCCCAAATATGTATTTTAAGCATTTTTTTAAAGTAATGTGAGAACAAGTGACTTATTATTCCACACAGATCAATCTGGCCGTTGAGCTTTAAAACAGTTCCTCAACTTCTGTTCTGTGTTACACGGCTCTTAAATATATGCTTCTGTTTGCTTTCACTTTTGCTTCTGATGAACTTTCAAGTTCTTTATTTTTGGATTTTTTTTTTTTTGTGATAACCAGATCAATGTTTGATTTCCAAAGTCTTTCAGGTTTTGTTACATTGGATGATTGAGGTAATTTTCTATTTGGATTTAAAGAGCTTAAAAAATTTGCTAAAGTATCCACCACTTTAACCTTCGTTGGCAAGTATTTAAGAATCACCGTCTGCTAACATCTGTATTCTGGAAACAGATTGCAATCAATAGTTTAAGGGCTTTTGGATAGCCTGAATCCGTGCAGTGTGGACTGACCTTGAGCAGAAGATTTTTCTCTGCCAGTTTGCATTAGGAAACCCCCTCCTGCCACCCAGGATCTTCCTTGAATACTACAGAGCTGAAAGCTGTCACCAGAATTTGATACCACACCGTTCTATTGCCAGATAGGGTGCTGCAGCCAAACAATGTGGTCACAGCACATCATTAGGATGCACCCGGCTCCTGGCCTGGCCAAAAGCATAGGAGTGGTGATGGTATCTAACCTCGAGAGGCCTATCAAAAAATCAGCATGTGAACTCTTTGGCAAGTTCTGTTGGTGTCAGCTAAGGGCAGCCCTTTCTGGAGGCAAGTAGGTTCTCCCAAAGGGAGATGAGGCAGAGCTGCCCAGCCACCTGCTCTTCTGTGTTAGGCTAGAATAGAACTCATCAAGACCGTGTGAGCACCGAATGTGAAATGCACAAGGGGATGTCTGTAAGAGAGGTACTAAGCACCCCAGGGACGAGCAGAAGAATGGCTCTTATCAAAGATAGTGGTTCCAGCAATTTGTGCGACAGACCTCCTGGACAAATCGATTCTGAAAGAGATAGCATTTATCTAGAAAAGGTGTTTGGATACCTTTTAAGGTCGGGAGAAGAATGCCTCAAAGCGCCAGAGGCTCTGCAGCTAGCACTTCCCGAGGAATATGCTCAGCTGGTCAGGACAGCTGGGTGTTTCTGACACCCCCGGGACACAGACAGCAGGCTATGTTCCCTGCCTGCAGAATCTTCTGGATTGGAGGCTTAAACATTAAGGCCTTAAATGGCAGATAAATAATCAAGACTGATGGCTGACATTTAAGGTGAAGTTTATAAGCAAAAAAAAAAAAAACAGGAAGGCAAAGGTTCATACAGAAACTCACACTCTGTATGATTTGATTTTTCTCTTTTGGAGATTAGTCTAGGATTTCCTTTATACTTTTATAGGTTTCAAGAAGATTGAAAATTGGGCCCAAACTTTCAGGGTTAGAGTAAATAGACCATTGTGTTATTGTCTCAGTTAAAAAAAAAAATGAAAAGAGTTAACTATTTGGGGCAGTATTTCAGTACTGTTATGGGATTTTTTTAACTGCAAGAAAGGGATAGAATAGGCTACTTTTCATGTATTTTTAATATTTTATTTAATTTTTGAATAGGTAATTTTTCTTCTTCTTCTCCTCCCCAAAGCCCCCCAGTACATAGTTGTTTATTCTGGTTGTAGGTCCTCCTGGTTGTGCTATGTGGGACGCCGCCTCAGCATGGCTTGATGAGCAGTGCTAGGTCTGTGCCCAGGATCTGAACCAGCGAAACCCTGGGCCACTGAAGCGTAGCCCACGAACTTGACCACTCGGCCACAGGGCTGACCCCAGTAATTTGTTTTTTTTTTTTCAGGAAGATTGGCCCTGAGCTAACATCTGCTGCCAATCCTCCTTTTTTTGCTGAGGAAGACTGGTCCTGAGCTAACATCCATGCCCATCTTTGTCTACTTTATATGTGGGATGCCTGCCACAGCATGGCTTGATGAGCGGTGCCATGTCCACACCTGGGATCTGACCCGGTGGCCCCCTGGCCACCAGAGCGGAATGTGTGAACTTAACCACTGTGTCACCAGGGCTGCCCCAAATCAGTATTTTTTTGTTTTTTGGGTTTTTTTAGAGGAAGATTAGCCTTAAGCTAACATCTGCTGCCAACCCTCCTCTTTTTTGCTGAAGAAGACTGGCCCTGAGCTAACATCCGTGCCCATCTCCTTCTATTTTATATGTGGGATGCCTGCCCCAGCATGGCTTGATGAGCAGCGCCATGTCCACACCTGGGATCCGACCCAGTGGCCCGCTGGCCACCAGAGCAGAACGTGTGAGCTTAACCACTGCACCACCAGGCTGGCCCCCAGGTAATTTTTTTAATGGTCCAAAATAAGTATAAAAAGGTCTGTGGTGAAAGTCTTCCTCCAACCCTCAGTCCTCCTCCCTACAAGTAACCCTTTCATGCACATAGAAGAAAAATGAATGTGTACATAATCCCTCCCCCCATTTTTTATGCAAATAGAAACATCCTATACATCTTGTTATATGGTACTATGCTTTTTTAAAATTAATAAATTTTATCTTTAGAGCAGTTTTAGGTTCATAGCACAATTGAACAGAGAGTACAAAGAGTTCCAGTATAGCCTCTGTCCCCACATGTGCATGACCTCCCCCACTGTCAACATCCCACACCACAGTGGGACATGTGTTACTATCGATGAACCTACCTTGGCACATCATGATCACCCAAAGTCCGTAGTTTACCTTAGGGTGCACTCTTGGTGTTGTACGTCCTGTGGGTTTGGACACAGTATGATGACACGTACCCACCATCGTGGTATTGTACAGAAGAGTTTCACTGCCCTGAAATTCCTCTGTGCTCTGCCTGTTCCTCCCTTTCTTCCCCCCACCCTGGCAACCACTAATCTTTTTGCTGTCTCCATAGTTTTGCCTTTTCTGGAATGTCATGTAGTTGGAATCATACAGTGTGTATCTTTTTCGGGTTGGCTTCTTTCACTTAGTAAGATGTGTTTAAGTTTCCTCCACATCTTTTCATGGCTTGATGGATCGTTTCATTTTAGTGCTTAATAATATTCCACTGTCTGGATGTGCCACGGATTATTTATCCATTCAGCTACTGAAGGGCATCTTGGTTGCTTCCAAGTTTTGGCAATTATGGATAAGGCTGCTGTAAACATCCCCATGTGCCGCTTTTTGTGTGGATGTAAGTTTCCATTTCCTTGGGGTAAATGCCAAGGAGTGCAACCATTGAATGTATGGTGAGAATATGTTTAGTTTTGTAAGAAACTGCCAAACTGTCTCCCAAAGTGGATGTACCATTTTGCATTCCCACCAGCAATGAATGAGAGTTCCTGTTGCTCCACGTGCCTACCAGCCTTTGATGTTGTCAGAGTTCTCGATTTAGGCCATTCTAATAAGTGTGTTGTGGTATCTCATTGTTGTTTTCACTTGTATTTCCCTGGTGACATATGCTCTTGTAGGGCCTGGGCCTTGCTTGCTCAACAAGAGCCCAAAAGCCCATTGAAACTATGTGTCCTTCTGGCCCCCTTCTGGGCAGGATGCCAACCTTCTGGGCAGAATGCCCAGGTGCTGAGATTTGTAATGATCCAGGGCCTGGCAGCCTGGATCTTAACTTATCTCACTCAGAGAACATCACGAAGGAACACAGAGCCCCTCCAGGTGAGCTACTGTTCCTGGGGACACTGCTCATACCAAGGACAGTCCCTCTTGGCAAGCGTATAGCCTTTGTGCCCCCTGCCTGTATAAGCAGCCTCCTCCCCACGCACGATTGTGGGTGCACACTTCTGTCCAGCTGACCGCCACTGAACATTCTATGTAAGTAACTCCCAATTAACCTATATGTCTTGTTCGCTGTCTCTGGGTCTTTTCTTTGGTCTCTCCACAACCTATCCTGCACTGCTTACCCAGCTGGGCGTGTAACCAGACAGATGTGGAGCATCTTTCCATATGTTTATTTGCCATCAGTATATCTCCTTTGGTGAGGTATCTGTAAAGGCCTTTGGCCTGCCTATTATTTGGTTGGTTTGTTTTCTTACTTTTTAGTTTCAAGCGTTCTTTGTATATTTTGGGTAACAGTCCATTATCAAATATATCTTTTACAAATATTTTCTTTCAGTATGTGCTTATCTTTTCATTCACTTGACAGTGTTGGTCACAGAGCAGAAAATTTTAGTTTTAATGAAGTCCAGCTTATCTATTCTTTCTTTCATGGATTGTCCTTTTGGTGTTGTATCTCAAAAGTCATTGCCAAACTCAAGGTCATCCAGATTTTCTCCTATGTTATCTTCTAGGAGTTTTCTAGTTGCGTGTTTTACATTTAGGTCTGTGATCCTGTTTGAATTAAGTTTTGTGAAAGGTGTAGGGTCTGTGTCTATCATCATTTTTTTGCATGCGGATGTCCAATCATTCTGGCACCATTGGTTGAAAAGACTATTTTTTCTCTGTTGTATTGCCTTTGCCCCTTTGTCAAAGATCATTGACTATATTTACGGGGGTCTGTTTCTGTGCTCTCTATTCTATTGCATTGATCCATTGGTTTCTTCTTTTGCCAATACCACACTCTCTTGATTATTGTAGATTTGTAGAAAGTCTTAAAGTCAGGTAGTGTCAGTCCGCCAACTTTATTCTTTAATCCTGAGTTTGCTGTCTAGGTCTTTTGCCTCTCTCTGTAAACTTTATAACCAGTTTGCCAGTATCCATAAAGTAACTTGCTACGATTTCGCTTGGGATTGTGTTGAATCTGTAGATCAAGTTGGGAAGAACTGACATCTTGACAATATTGCATCTTCCTACCCATGAACATGGAATATCTCTCCATTTATTTACTTCCTTGATATCTTTCATCAGAATTTCGTGGTTCTCCTCATATAGATCTTGTACATATTTTGTTAGATTTATACCTAGGTATTTCACTTTTGGGGTGCTAATGTAAAAGGTAATGTGTTTTAAATGTCAAATTCCACCTGTTCATTGATGGTATATAGGAAAGTGATCAACTTTTGTACATTAACCTTGTATCCTACAACCTTGTTATGATTGCTTATTAATTCCAGGAGTGTTTTTCTTTTTTTTTTGTCAATAATTTTGAATTTTCTACATAGACGCTCATGTCATATGCAAAAAAAGACAGTTTTATTTCTTCCTTCCCAATCTCTATACCTCTTATTTCCTTTTATTGTCTTATTACATTGGCTAGGACTTCCAGTATGATGTTGAAAAACAGTGGTAATAGGGGACATCCTTGTCCTATTCCTGATCTTAGTGGGAAAACTTCAAGTTTCTCACCACTAAATATGATGTTAGGTGTTGGGTTTTTGTAGCTGTTCATTATCAAGTTGAGGAAGTTCTCCTCTATTCCTAGTTTGCTGAGTATACCTTAACAACATACCTTGGAGAACTTTCTATTATGAACATTAAGAGCTGTCTTGTTGTTATTACTTACAGCTGCATAGTACTCCATTGTGTGGATATACTGAAGTTTATTTAACCTCATCCCTGTTGATGGGTATTTAGGTTATTTCTACATTTTTTTTTGTTAGCACAGACAGTGCTGCAGTGACTAACCATATGTGTGGATGATTTTGCTTGTGTGAAAATTCCTAAAAGTTGAAATAGTGAGTAAAAGCAAATATGTGCATTTGTTACTTTGATTATTAAATTACTATCTATAGGATTTGTACCAATTTTTACTCATATCAGTAATGTATGAGATATTTGAAAAGTTGTATCCCAGTGTAGTTTTGATTTGCATTTCTCTTACTATAAGTGAGGTTGAGTATATATTCTCTTTTTATATTTAAGAATCATTTGTACTTCTTTTTCTTTCCATATCCTTTGCCCATTTCTCTATTGCACTATTAATCTTTTTCTTAGTGAGGTGCAGTAGCTCTTTACATATTATGGAAATTATCCATTTGTCTGATATGAATTACAATTGTGTGTATGTGTGTAGACTATTTCAACACAGAGTAGATTCTCTGCCCCATAGGTGCTCAAACATGTGACCATTTGGTAGGAGTGTTATAGCAGGCATTCTTGGATCTGATCTCTGGACCATATGATTTTCAAAGTACATTTCCATTCTCAGATTTTTATGATTCATTGATGAAACATTGCCTTATTTAGACTGGAAAGCCTAGGTCTGATTAACTCTGCACTCTACGTAAAGCAGCTGGCTTTAACGTAGTCTACTCAGCATCTCCTTGGAAGACAGAGCCTGAACACTTGGCAGTTGCACATTTGTCGAGTCTCCAGTGACCTCCACCTTTACACCCTTTTCCCTGGGAAGAGGGAAGCAGTTGTGGCCTGTCACCTTTGAGTATTTTGGGCAGCAGCCTGGCATCCTGGGAATTTGTCCAGCATGGTTTTCAGAGTTATTCAGACGCTTTTAGAAGAAAGCAAAGTCATTAAAGGAAACCAAGAACGTTAAAGATTTATGCCTGTAAGAAACACAGCCAGTTTCTGCTCAACACTTAATGTAAGATGAGCTGAAAACTGCAAAGAAACATGTTTAAAGATAATTAATAAATTTGTATAATATTTTTGTCAAATCGCTCACATCACACATTTGACAGGCAGCTTGAAAACCTTTTGCACACTAGAAAGATGAAAGCATTTGATATTTATTTCCTGGAGGTGGAGGGACAAGAAGAGTCCTGGGTTTTTGAAGTCCCCAGAAGATGATTCTGCATATATTGCACATACTTGCTAACTGCTTGAAATCAGCAAGGCCTCGTTTGGGACTTTGGACATGTCAAAAAACAGTATGGGGCTGATTGAAGTGAATGGCAATGAGAGGTCAGCCATTGCTGAGGATTTTTGCTCAACTGTTATTTTTGTTACTTTCCAAGTTTAAGAGCAAGACCTCACTAACTTAAAGTACTTAAAGGCAGAAATGTTCTAGAAGGTTTGAAATTAGTTTAGGTCCTATCAGTTTAGTACTTCAATTTTCTTTTTTTTTGGAAAAGTTTTCCTTCTCTCGGCTCTTTCCTAATTACCTTTCTGATCCCTATAACTCTGTCCCTCATTTTTCCCCCTTCAAATTCTATTCTTTCCTATCTCCAGCGGTCTAGTTAAAAGAATATATTCTTTACTTTCTTTTTGTCTTCTTTTCTTAGGGGCACATCACCTGTGTTTATGGACCACTTGACATTATTCAAGAAGGATAAGTTCTGGATCTAAAAAAGATGACAAATGCAGCAAAGTGCACAATTGTGACCAAAACTCTCAACTGAGTGTTAGGAGAGACCAAGAATGAAGTCGGTTACTCTGGGCATTTTTGTGGCTGATCTGGACCCTGATGAGGTTATTGATAGAAGCTGATGCTCTGAGAAAGTGTGGACAAGTTGGGCCCTGCAGGATTCATGCAAGTCAAATAATTGTTGGACCCACTATATTTGATCAGCCATGGAGAACACCCCAAGACATCCCACCTGTTAGGCATCAGGCAGAAACAGTCAATCTTCTCTGTCAGTTAAAAAATGAGAGGAGTGAGTGGGAGGAAGGAAAGAGGAGGAGGAGGAGGAGAAAGAGGATAGAAAGAGAGAGAGAGAGTAGAGAGAAGATTAAAAAGAAGCAGCATTTCTTTTCTCACCAAAGTTACAAGACCTCCAGGTTGAATTCACAGTAATGAGGGGGAGGAGAAAGTTCAAATGGATATATCCCATGCATGGCATTAAAAATGGAGCTTGAGCATATGCAAACAGCATGTCGACTGCAGCTCTGAGGTGATGGCAAAGGATGGGCTCTGGGGTGAGAAATAAGCTTGTGCTGAGAAACCATCTGGGAAAACTCTTAGACTAATTTGAATTGAACCAAGCTGAGACCTTAAGCATTTCTTTCCGATGAGATCCAAGCTGAACAATGACACGAGCTGATGTGCAGTTGTGGAGATGCCCATGTGTCCTCGTCTGACAGCTGTCGTGGGAAGTCCACACCGCTCCCGAAAGCTAGATAATTAACTGCCGTTGGCTTTGAAGTCCACAGAAAGCCGCTTCCTACTGTGGTACGTTTACAGCTTCTACAACTGCCGCGTCAAATGTTCAGTGTCTCAGCCGCGTCAGCCCACTAACTCCTTTAGATGTTCAGGTTTCTCAAAGCTATTCAAATCCCTGAAGCTGCCATGTGAGCTCTTTCAAGCCAGGTGTTTAAAAAAAATATGACATATTTTTTATCATTAGATTATTAAATAAGTTTGCCAAAAACATGACTATAAGTCATGGATGTTTGTAGGTGTTTTTTTTTTTTGATTGAGGGAGAGATGTTTTTAAAGGGATCAGATTTGGGAGGAGCAGGTACAGAATTGTTAAATTTACAGAATTGTCCAGATAGTAGCATCACACTAAGAAACATGAATAAGAATATATTAGTTTATTTTTTTAAAAGCTTAATAAGGGACCAATTTCAATTCTCTCTACCTTAGAAGTTTCAAAATAGGCCTTGGGAAAAAATATATTTATAAAAATTTGCAGACTTAAGGTTCAGAACAAACATGAGTTTGAACTAGTGTATGTAGGTGTTGAAGGTTACAGGGAATAAAGCACAACTGAATGACAATTGGATTTATTTGTGTTCCATGTATCTCTCTCTGTGGCAGTGTGACAGCTGGATCTTTGTAAAGGACTTTGGTTTCTGGATCTTAATCATTCAAGCCATAGTGAGTATAATTTTACTTGGAGATGCTGTAAAGGGAAAATAATTAACATGATGTTTCTAAAGATAATCTTTCACAGCATAACTTTGAAATAGATGACTGAGCTCTTGGTGAAATTGCGTTGGTTAATTCTATATGCATTACATCGTCGTAAGAAAAACGCCAGTATTTTCACGCTGAGATGATTTGGTATGGTTCGCAGAGGGTAATTGCCACTTTGGGTTTACCTTTGTAGTAAAAATTAAATGCAGACTGCGTTGAGACACATTCAGGACTTAACCTGTCCTACAAAGTCTTTATACTTTGGTGAAGCTTCACAGTTATTCTTCTTTTAAATTTAGGTGGTTTTGCCTTAGGGAGTTGATGGAAAGGCATTGTGAATGTTTTTGTGGATAAAGTTAAAATCGTTTCATTAAATGTTAATGGACTTAATAGTCCAGTTAAAAAGAGCCAATCTATTAGCCTCACTCACTTAGTGCTGACGTGGCTTATGTCAGGAATTGCATTTGGGCCCATAGAGCTGAACGTGATTTATGAGCATAGGTTAGGAATGGATTTTGTTCTTTTGCTATAAGGAAATAACCATTCTGTTTATAAATGACTCTGATTTGTAACAAAGCAGCTATTTCAGATGCAACTAATTGGTTTATTTTGGCCCAAAGAAAGATTCAGACATCTATTAAACATTAGGAACCCAGCATGGCTCACTGGAGTCAACAGCGGCATAGAGCGTGAGTTAGGTGCAATTCCATAATCGTCCCTAACTTTCTTTAGCACCTTCACTATAAAATGAGCCAACAATGCTATGGGGAAGAATTGCTGATTTTAAAGTATTTTGAAAATGTGCAAGAGATTTTTACTAATTGCTTTTTTGTTTTTGGAAAGGGAACAGTTACACCATAGTGTAACTGTTGTGCCATTTCCTCCAAATTAGATGAGAACAAGTATTTTTTGCAGTTTTGAGCAACTGAAGGTACGTTATGTAGAGAGAGCCGGGAATATAAGCCCAGCTTAGCCCGGAATTCCATGTGACTGCCCTTATTCTTGTCTTCAGGAGTCACCCAATCCTGGGGCTTTAGATACATCTTTGTCAGCTCTTTTGAAATCAAACAACACTCATTTTTAATATAATCTTTAAACATTTGGAAACAGAAATGCTTCCAGCCTTCACAACACATGAACCATGTCTAGTTATGAACCATATGGACTGTGTGTAGGCTGAGAACGTTATAATGCCTGGGGGTCTCCACCTCCTCCTTCTACTTTATAAAGCGGTGAGGAATTCAACAATGTGGTTACAAGATGGTATGAACTGAAAACTTAAAGAATTTTCCTTCATTCATTTAACAAGTATTTTTGAGCACCGACTATTTTCTTTTCCACCAAAAGAAATTTAAAATCTGCACAAAGTTTATAAGCATCTTCAGTTGCAATGATTCTTGAATTAGAGATATGGATTCGTCCAAAAAACTCAGAATAAACAGTATATGCAAAATGATGATAGAGGAGGCCTGGGCAGACAGAGAGAGCGAGCCAGACTGACCAACGTGACCTTGAGGAAACAAGTGAATTCTCTCGGCCTTAGTGTCCTCCGCAAGGGAGGGATGGGTTGGTAACGGGAGAGGCTCCTTCTCGCCCTACAATTCTCTGGATCATGACAGAAAACACTGTTGATAATAATCCGAGTACAACGGGAAGGACCGACATTCTGGGTCTTCCCAGTGACATGAAGCTTTCTAAAATTCTCTCTTGTTTTCACCTGCTTCCAGTGTATGTTACCGTACAACGTTCAAGTGCTTTGCAAGCTGCTAGGCACAGGGTGAACGCCAGGCATATTACTGAAAGCTCACATCTCTTTAGAATATAAAATACAATACATGGATAGTGGCTAATCTCAGGTTTCCACTTTCAGTTTCTTTTATAGACACTTGGGGGAAATCAGGAAGCTGATAAAAGGAACATAAGACATAATTAAAAACTAGCCGAGGCAAGCCTGCATCGACATTCTTCTACCTTTTGAATTTTATACAGTTACATTACCTTTAGGAAATCGTGATGAAGTTATTGCCTTCACAACCTGAGAATGTTTGGCCCTTTCAAGAGTTTTGGCATGTTAGCTCAATAATTTTATCAGTATCCAGAACCGTAACGCCAGTCAGCTGTGGGGACACAATGGAAGAAAGGGGTGGAAATAACTAACATTTATTTGCTACTATTGCCGGGTACTTTGCTGAGCTTTTTGCATGTGTTCACTCATTTAATCCTCAGGTAGGTACTACTGTTATTCCTGTTTCATGGGTCCAGCCACAGAGAGGGTAAATGACTTGCCCAACATCACTTGCTAATTATAAATGGCCGAGCTGGCATTCGAACCTGTGGAGTCTGTTTCTAAGGCCCATGCTTATGTCCACAATGGCCTAGCCACCTCCCAACATGCCTACTGATTTGCCCTATTCCAGTGACGCGCACCGGGAGCTATTAGCCCTGAGTGTTCACCCAGTGTTGCAGGCAAGCTCTGCTCAGCAGGAGGCAGGGCCAGCTTGATCTTCCAGCCACAGTCGGCTGGGGCTTAAGGCCTAGCATACTTTTAGGGGCCCAAGAAAATGTTTTAATTTCTTTTAAAATCAGAAGAAAAAAATGACTGTCATCCAGCCTGGATCATATTTGTCTTTATAGCAGCACAGCTGTCATTTCTATCTTATACATTTTTAAATGTGCCCGCGAACATCATAGTGTGGGCTGATCGGAGGGCAGAGCAGAAGTGGATGGGTACGGACAACGCCACTGCTCAGAGGCCCACCAGGAGGCTCCTTGTGGGGTCCCTTCTTCTCCCTGAAGGTTGGTGCCCAGACAGGCCGCTGCAGAGCCCATCAAACACAAAATTGGGAGATTTCATATAAAAAATCTGGATTTCTGGCTTCTCTTGAGAAATCAGAAGTCTTGGTAGCGTTGGGCCCATGTTGCATGGCTCCATTCGGCTGGAGCTGAGTGGGGCTGTTTGCTTCAGGCCCCTCCTCGCCCTGCCTGGCCCTATAAACACTGGAATTTGAAGCTTTGCACTAAGATACAAGTGACAGCTCAGTATATTATCTTTTCTCAAAACTCTCGCAGGTGCACAGAGAAGGACGGAAGCCGTAGAGTGATATGTCGTAGGGAATTCTGGGCTTCAGCGGGAAGACCTGGAGGATATCAGGCTCCTGCAGGTCAGGTCAGGTCAGGCCTTTGCCTGCTCTACTGTGAGCAGGGCTTGTCCTGCGTCTTCCCACGAGTGGCAGAACCAGGGCAGCCCGGCTTTCCAGGGAGAAAGATAGGAGGAGTGGGGCAGGAGGGCCGGCTGGAAGCTGGCAATTCACCTCCAGCCCCTCCCTCCAGGTGCTTCATCCAGCTAAAAGCAGGTGAAATGAGAATGGAATACAGAATTCCTGCGTCTCTTATTTTTAACTTTATTACTCTTATTATTGTTTTGAAAGATAGGACTTCAAAGAAGCTGGTAGGTGCTGACTTCAAAGAATGCAGATAAAACACTGTCCAGACAGTTCGGTTCATTGGACGGCTCCGTGCAAGGCCGTCAGGTGTCCGAGGCTGGAAAAGGTTTTTACTTTAGCTTCTTGTTGGAAACCTTTCTACTTAAGAATGAGACTTTATATTTCCCCCATAACAATGCGTGCTTTATCTACCTTGCCTATGTTTTTATTGTTGCCCACGTGAGCTTCCTGTGTGGGCACAATATTGCTGTGCCCAGCTGTTGACGTTGGCACGGAAGACGTGAAGTGATGCTTCGTCTCTTTCTCGCTTATATAAAGCTCTTCACGTCTATTAGCATCACCTGCTCGAAGCCCGTGTAGGTGGGCAGTTTTCACATTTGTTTGGACCACATTGGCCGTGCTTTCCTAGAGAGTCTGTAGTTAAGTACACTCAGCGCTTAATGTAGATATGTGAGCTATCTGGTTACTTAGATGGCTGGGGACTGAAGATGGGGGGTGAACAGAATAAGATTTGGTGACCCTGCCGCTGAGCTTACCGACTGCCTGCCAAGAGGAAGATGACCTAGCGCTTAGTAGCCCTTTTGCTTGCAAAAAAGGGAGGGCTTCAAAGACACAATATGGTCATTTTATTTCATTTTTCTTACCCAATTCAATGTCTGGCAGCCCAGAAATCTTTCTCTGTTAATCTTTATTCTCCACGTTTTATATAAATTATGACTCTATATATGTGGCACTCAAATCATGCACAGGATGTAGAAGATGTGCTTCCTGCCCTCAGTGAATTTAGTCTAATTGGTAAGCCAGGAGTAAGGAAGGAAGCATTGGGCCTTATATTCTGCTATATATTAAGCACTAAATTGGATGGAGACATGACTTAGTGTGCCAGCTGGTGGAGAGAGGAGGCGGTCTGTTTTGGGCTGGGTCACTCAGGGTAGGCTAACGTAGGTCTCAGGCTGGGCTTTGAGGGTTGAGAGTGAGGATGCAGAATATGGCACGATGGGTGGAGGTCACTGGAGTTGGGATTTGGGGATAGGGTTATAGAGCGATGGAGTTGAAGCCGGACCATGGCAGGGACCAGCAGGGCAGGCAACAGCGCTTCTGCTTTATCCTACGGGTAATGCTAAGCCGTTTTTATACGAGGGAGGAAAAGACACCTGGAAAGCAATGCTCTAGGCAGATTAATCTGGAAGCTTAGAGTAAGGTGATTAGAGCAATAGACGCTGCAAGAGGCTGGAAGGCCAGTTAGGAGGCTCTTTAGCCATCCAGGCCTAGAGTGAGGGAGCCTGAATTCAGGTGAGAGAGGACGGAGCAGCACAGAGGGGGACTTGGGAGAATTGTTCTGGAGAAAGATAATGGAGTCTAGCTGGATCCAGGAAGTGGTGGGAGGAGTGAAGGATGACGTTTACCTGCAGTTTCCACCCTG